ACGTTTCTCGGGCACAATTACACACGTGTTTCAAAAGTCAATCTCAGTCTTTTTCTCACTTCACTCTCACCCCCTCTCACACACACGCACCCACAAACTTTTTTCCCTTCTCACTCTGTCCATTTCCATTGGGATGTCTATAAACAGAACATTATTTCAATTAAGGACACTCTTCCCAACAAAATTTCGGATACGAGTTGATCAGTTTTCGTTTTGTTCTATGTGTACCTTGGCCCCCCTGTACTTTTTTCCCAATCAGAACACAATTTTTAAGAACGTTCTTCAAACATACAAGAGTTATTGATTTATTAACGGAAATTATTATGCTGCAATTTTGAAGGTTTCTCCAACACCCACTTGCGTGGAATTTGTAGGCCTAGAAATGCAACGAGTAGTGTCTCGACAACACCTTGCAACACCGGTTGCAGTGTTGCTCCTCCAAATAAAATAAAATAAAATTCAACAAGGCAGCGATTGAAATCTGTGCTGTTTGATAGGCTGGTAATGAGTTGCCCGTAGTGTCCAGAAGATATTTCTTCAGTACCAACGTTTTTGTCCAACAGCCCGTTAGTCTGTGACATGCACTTGCTCAAGTATTGATAGCTCCTGTTTCCCTACGGGTCTCAGCCAAAGCCAGTGCGATACGCTTGTCTCGACTGTCTCGGTGGCATGGTTTTTGACGTTGCCGGTTAGGCTGTTTTGATGTAGGGAGTCGAACGCTTGCAATACCGAGAAATATATATATATAAAAATATAATATATATACAATTTGTCGTTTTTGTATAGAATGTTGATATTAAAAATGTTTTAAGACTTGTAAATTTAGTACATATTTTGTTCGTACCTGAATGAAAGTAACGACTTACTAATCGGACATTAAGACACTGTGAAAGTTTACGAAACAATTGTTCAAGCTTCTCCTCAGCTCGCATAACTTCATGTCATAAAACTCTAAGATCAATGTATTTTTTTTAATTCATTAAAGCAATTAACGAGCAACGAAATGTTATTTATGGCATTAACTTGATTTGGCTTCTTTCGTAGGCCAAAACATGCTACTATGTAAAAGACATTTTTCAATAATCTATTTATCATAATAGGAGTGACTCATCACTACCCTATAGTTGTGCACTGATATAACAGCATATACATACGAATATATAATATATTATGTATATTATATATTTAAGATTGTAATATACCTAGATTAAGAGTTTTTAAACGTATCTTAGTTACATAGAGGTAATGTAAAGTTTTACGCTTCGAGTAGTTTTTTATATATACTGATGCTAGTGAAAAAGGTATGTACTGGAACTCTTGAATACGTACTAGAATATTGTAATCACAAATATGCATAAATCCATGTATGATAATTAACATTTTAGACTTTCTCAGGGTAGACGGTGAGTGCTTGAGAGACTTGTACAAACAGTGCATTGTTTCATTTGAGCGTTTCATACTATAGAGTTTTTTTTAGCATTATTTTCACTTGTTTTATTTACTTAAGTAGGAAATTCCAACCGTTCCAAGGAAATTTATTCATTGGAAGTGGTAACTTAAGCAATAATTATATAAAAATAAGTGCACCAGATAGAGGTATGCGATACTAATACATGCTACATAATACGGAATTACTTAGGTACTGCTAAAATGTTAGCATCAGTTCCAAACCCTTTATTTGCGTATTGATAACTTCAATACCATATGTTTCTAAGTAAATCCCTCATTTGACCATTACCTACATTTCTTTTATTCCTTTTCTTTTTAACTTGTGATATTTTATAGTTCGTATCATCTTGTCGTCCGTAATTAATAATTCAATATACTTTCTTCTTTTCTTACTTATAGATACTCCTCCGGTAATAATGAGTGTAATTTTGAGTTAAGGTGCAAATCACTGCGAGACCTTAAACGCAACGTTGGCAATTCCAATGTGACACTGAACATGTTGGCACAAAAGAGCACTTGTTCTTAAATTGTTTCAAGTATAGTACATATGTATCCAAGGAATTCCATTTTGATCCAACTGCAAAGTTTTTTACTGCAAGTTAACATCATAACGATTACATTTCACAAGTTTCATATTTCCTTTATTACGAAAATATTATTGAGGATAATTTAATTAGTAATTACGTTTCACGCTAATTACCACTAATGATATTAACGAACGTTGTGTTCGATAGCAACTCTACAAAGTGCCTGAATTGTTATTCCACAGCACGAGAAAATTTCAAAACTTTTGTTCTTAACGTATTTTCTAGAAGCAGATGAGACCCGACGTGTGGATGCCGGGAATCGTCGCTCCCCACTAGAGAACGTGACATTGTTCCTCGTCGAAAGTATTCATTTGTCCATGTCAGGGGCATCATTCATCCTAGGCGCCTCATTTTCATTTCCACACCTTGAAATGTTCAAATCAAGGAAACAAGAAACAACTGAAATCCACATTATTGAGCAAGCTGTTTATTTAAGGTAGGCCCGCATATGCATATTAATAACTACTTTTTATTCTGTATTGTGGATTGGTAAATGTCAGTGGCGTAGCGTCTGGGGGCGCTAAGATGCTGAGCATTCGCACGTAAAATATTTATCAATGAGCTCTAAATATTGTATGAAAACCTTACACAAAAACTGTTCAGCGAAACGCGTTTCTATTCGTTTTAAAGGTTTTCATTTTATTGAATTTGACGCGTTTCCCGTGTTGGATGCGGTTGGTTGGATGCTGGAATAGTTTGGCCTTCACCGGCTGAGTGCGACGGATAACCACGCATATCCAGTGGACGAGCTTCCTTCATCGCTCCTGCTCCAGCGAACTGAGCTCCGCTAGCGTTAATTGCTCACAAGTGAGAATTAGCAAGTTGCACATTGGATTGAGGGAGTGCAGCACTTTTCAGGTGATCAGTGTGTTTCTCTCTCGCTCGGGATTCCCTGCTTGGTCACGTGGAAATGGCAGAGAGCAGGTAGAAGAAGTAATGCTTCACTACTACCTATTAAATATCTGAAAAGTTAAATTCTCTCTTAAATTTATTATATCTTATTTCGATCTCAAATGTAAATATTCATATACAAATGAATGTGTTTTCATTTGCGCGTGGGAATTAGAGCTGAACCATTGCACGATTTGCGTGCGAGAAGTCAGCAGTTCTAGGTGAAATCAGAGGCAGCTACCTAGTCCGTCAAGATCGTAGTCATTGTTAAGAGTGCGTCTGTATTGTGTTGCATTACTGTGTTTAATTAGTTTTTAATGATTTGATGTATGATAAAATGACAAATGTATTCAAGATGGCAATTTTTCTTGACTTCCTTCGTTCGACGTCAGTTATCAAATGAACAATATTGTACATTGAATGAACTTGCAACTCAGCATTTGAATATTTTTGTGTGGGAAAACTATTTGTACAATTTCACTCTTCTTGGTACGTGCGAGTTTCGTTGCTTAATTGATGTTCTAGAACAAACAAATTGTCATGTTACGTGTTCATCCTTGGGACTTTTGCGTTGATGTTCAGCGCTTCCAAACGCGCGAGTCACGCTACGCCACTGATAGGTATTGGAATGTTCATTCGCTCGGTTGCATTGGGCACTGAGCCTACTGAGAAGGTAACAGAGGCCACAAGGCAGAAAAATCGAAGTCACGTATGTTTATTATCCACAGTTATTAATCATTAAAACACATATTTCGTCACGTCTTCTGATTGTTTTAATAGAAAAAATGATGAGGTTAAATGGATTTTTCAAGAAATGTCGTTTTTAAGGAAGATGTGTCAAATCAGTGAAACAAAATTTTGCATCCTTATCCACATGTACTGAAATCATGTCTTTCAGATGCAAACTCGCAATGGCGGTGTGAGTGATTGACGGATCTAATCGCATAGTCAGCTCGTGTCAATAATAATTTTTACTGAGTTTTTTTTTTGTTTCATCTTGAGTCATTCATTTTCTTGTATTTTGAGAGTAAAATTGACTGGTGGCCCAGATTTCACTTAATCCATATATTTCAAATACGCAGGCAAAACAATTTGTACCAACATTTATCAGAAAAGTATGTTTTTCAGTCATTGTGCATGTCATATGTTAGCATTTCTTCTTGTATGAAATTAAATAGAAGTTAACAGGAAATACCTCTCTTGTGCGTAACAGAGCGTGCAATAGTGAGAATTTCATACAGGTAAGTCATGAAACTTTCGCACATCTCGCCATTTTTGAGCTGTTAAAGTGCAATGTAGCTTTCATTGATGTACACGAAGGAAGACGGCTGTTAGATACAAGTTTTGTATACTTTTTATACGTTGTATTTTACAAGATAAAAATAACCGATGGAAATATAAACAGCTGGCCAAGAAAGAAACAAAAACACCTTGAAAATAAGCATTCTTTGTCTAATAAACTTGTCATATTTTGAATGGTTGATCTGCAGTAAGCACGCAAAACTCTAAGTTAAGTAAACAAATAAATAGTAAATAGTAATCATGTATGCATTAACAGCATTTCAGTATCATACAAATTTCTTGTTTATTTGTTTATTTATTGTCACTTGAACTAATTTGTCACTAGTGACATCTTAAATAGTTAACAATTTTTTCTGCAAAATTTCACTGTTTAAACACGTAAATTAGTTACAAAAGAAATAAGAACATTTGTTTTACAAAGAAAAATAATACAGAAATAAACAAATAATTCATCTGCGTAAAATGGGTCTTTCCGAAACACTTGGTAGCAAAAAACTCGCTCCGTGTCCTTTGGCGTGACTCTAAAATGCTGTTGATTTCCTACGTCTTACAAAAGATGTTCAAAACGTCGTCATTCTTCTCTGGAGCGCAAATCCGGCCGTTCTAATAAAGACCGATTCCACTACTACCGATTATTCCTATTGAAAAATCCATAAAATACTGTTTCTTCAATTAAATTTTTATGAAATGGGCTTCGTCTTTAAATAATACTTACTGCAAATTTGGAGTGTTTGAAGAGGCACGATGCAAAAGTACATATAATCCATTAAGGCTGAAAAGGTCTCGATCCAGCCACAAAATCGAGAAGGTTTTTCTCTCCGGCTCTATATTTTTGGGGGGTACTGAATTAGAATTTTATGTTTACCACCTTGAGAAAGGTCAGCTTCACACAGAAAATTACAAACTCGTTTTTAAAAAATATAGCGCTTCTTCAGCTTTTTGCAAATATTTCGGAAACTACGCGTTTTATTTAAAATATTAATATACACAAAATTAAAGTAGATGAAGCGTTTTTAAAAATTCACATTGTAACTTTAAATGATTGATAAAGTGTTCACGAGATAGAGCGCCCTGAAAAAGAGTGACGTTTTGGCCCCTTGGTCAAAACAGGAGAGTATCCCTCTATGGCCATCCTATCTCGCGGCGGCTCTCTATATTCACAATGTCGTTCTCGGAAATTCTATTCAATTAACTAATTGATTAACTGCTTATCTAAATGATAAATAACAAATTATTGGTGAAATAATTTCCATTTTTTAATTTTCAAATATTGTCCATTTTGACAATCGAATATTTTTTTCTCACAATTATTAAAAAATAACCATTCTCTAAATATCTATACGTTTAGGTTATATTTTGTTTCGTGCATGGTATTAATCAATTCTGAATGAAGAGGCGCAATTCTTCAAATTTAAACATTAAGTTTTTTTGTTTGTGAATCGACAGAAAAATGATTTTATTCACCTCTCAAAGAAATTGTAATTTGCATAGGAAGACCTTCTGAACCAATGAGACAGTAATTAAAATGAATTTAGGGATTCCATAATCCCTATGAAAACCTTGATTCTGGCTTTTCAAACATTTTTCATAAACTAAAATATACACATGGTATTTCTTCGGCGTATTTCTAGCTTATATAATAGCACTATATCCCATGCCAAAATCTTTAACAATAATCCTGACTTACTTGACTAAAAATGTACCAAAGTAGTCAGAAGCTGGATAGATTTTTATAACAAGGGAAACCGCCAATTTAAGTTCAATAGAAGTTAGTAGATTATGATACATACGTTTGTCAAAATTAAATTAAAGAAACTCTGACTTCCATGACTGAATTAAAAAAGATCAATCCGATGACAATGATTATGAACTTATTTGAAAATAAAAAAATTCTTGCTTTGTGCTTTTTGTATCATCGAAAAAAGTTTAGACGCATTGCATGCCTTAGAAGTATCAAGCCTGCATTGATATATTTAACATGTTACTTTACCTCGCGTGTATTTATACGACGAGGCATTTAAGTAGATCTTTATTCACGAAGGGGAGGAATTAGGTCTTGAGTGCAATGGGAAGAGGAACATGCTATATTTAATTGGCTGTCCGGGTGACGCCGCGTCCATGGTTAAGGTGCCAACGTTTCGTTCGCCATTTTGCAACCTTCCTCAGGGCGTAATGCTGCGTCACCCGGACAGCCAATAAAATACTGACTCATGTCGCGGAAGCGTACGCTCTCACAGGAACATACTAATTGTCCCGGAGGTTGAAAAGTCCCGTGTCGTCTTCAAGATATTTTAACCATTATTTTCATTTCAATTTTTTATTTAGTTTTAAAACTTCTTACATAATTTTGTAGAAAATGACATCAGTTGATGGCTATATTCATCAATATCTAGTCTATGTTTTTTTGGAAATTTCAGTTGAAAGAGATTTTTTACTGATTAGTAATATCTTTTAACTGCGCATTTGAAATATGAAAACGGTTTAGTTCTTCATGATCTAGTTGAAATGAAATGTGATCTAGTTGAAGTGTACTTTTGCATTACTGCAGTTTGGAGCCAAATTAATGTATTCTAGCATTCCTTCTGCAGCTAGACCTTTTGTACACTGATGCTTACAGTATTTGAAGGTTT